CCTGAGGCAAAGAGCCACTTAACTTGTGTGAGCAGACAGAAGGCAGGGAGGGAATGCAACAGATGATGGGTAAGGTGGCCAGCCAGCGGGGGTTAGAGAGGCAGACCAGGGCCCAAGCGCCTAGGAGACTATGCAGGCTGGGATTCCAGTGTAGGTAGGGTGGAAGGAACACAATCAGATCTGGGTTTTGAAAATTCCAGTGCCTGAGTGCAGAGGAGATGGCAGAGGGACAAGGGAGGTGAGGGGGACAAGAGAGCCCAGACAGAGGAGGTGTGTGCAGAGACTGTTCCTCCATAAGAACTGAAGACTGAAGGCCCCAGGGGCCATTCAGGGAATAAAGTACTGGCTGCTCAGATCCCCCGCACCCATGTAAAAGCCAGGTACAGTGGTGTAACCCTGGCACCCAGGATGGGGAGTGGTGGCAGGGACAAGCAAGAACTGAGGACTGAAGGCCCCAGGGGCCATTCAGGGAATAAAGTGCTGGCTGCTCAGATCCCCCTCACCCATGTAAAAGCCAGGGACAGTGGTGTAACCCTGGCACCCAGGATGGGGAGTGGTGGCAGGGACAAGTAGATCCTGGGGAGTCAGTGACCAGCAAGCTCCAGGCTCAGCCAGAGGCCCTATCTCAAAATAAATAAGGTGGCAGCCAAATATGGTGGCATTTGCCTTTAATCCCAGCACTTGGGAGGCAGAGACAGAGACAGGAGGGTCTCCATGATTCCTAGGCCAGCTTGTGGTGAGTCACCTTACATGGTGAGACAAAAAAGGTAGAGGTGGCTTGGAGCAGGGTAGCGCCAACTAATAAGTAGGGCATTGTTTGGACTGTCTGAGAAGATGTTCTGGAAGTAAAGCCAACAGGGGCCAAGTGAGGCAGAACTCAGTTTGTTGGAAGAACCCAGATGAAGAAGTTCCTGTTTGGGGCCACTTCCTGGCTCTGGGTTTGGCAGGGGTAGAGGAGGCAAACAGACAAAGAACTCCTAACCCTGCTCTTTCTCCTGCTTCATCTGGAGATGCAGTCTTCTGGGGTTCCCACCACCCCTCAGACCACACACTTCCTCCATCTTTGTCCGCGTTCCCTCTCCCCTGAAGAAGCACTGAGGCTTGAGACTCTAGCGTGGAGCTCCTTCCTCTTTCAGCTCCCACTCCCTGGGCCTCCATTCT